TGTAAAATCGATCTACGTCCTTACTCAACTTAATAAACATAGTAGTAATCCCCATTCTCTATAACAATAACACATATTTTGGAAAACACAAGCTTAACATAAAATATATCTCCACGTGAACACGTTTTTAACTATGATAAGCTGATACGACTAAGAGAACGATGTGTTTAAGGTTCATGTAAAGTCTGTTTTTAACTAAGTTACAAAAGGTCATAATTTCTTGAATTTTACCTCGATAGCCCTTATGTTGGTATCACTACGATCCTTAGGATATGAGAAACAGTATGTAATAGCTTTCAGTTAAGTTCAGTTCGTTAATATTGTTTTAATTGCATTAATTACATGTTATGCAGGAAATAACATATCTACACAAAACAGAGTCAATTATCAAGGAAATATCAGTCAAAATCTTCCTTAGAACTCTTTTTAGGTAGTGGGATTGTTGAAAGACCACGAAACTTCTCCAAAAGACTGATAATCAAAACTTTAAAGTCAAGTCATTAGTTAATTCCACCATAAAAAAATCAGCCATATTGGAACTACTTTTCTAAAACTATGGAGACCCATGTAGTGTAATACCAAACATCACATTTTTCTAAAACCACATTTTTAACCGAAAAATAATGCATGATATGTATGTTACGGTTAGTTAAAAAAAATGTCATAAACAAATATTAGATAACAGTAGTTGATTTATATTGATAATTATATTAATTAGCATATTACATACACATACAAGACATTTGAATCATCGTATAAAACAGTAAACCCAGTGTCACCTTATTATATGTCAACGGAATAGTAGGGTGGCGATAATGTGGCATATATATAAGTAAATAGGTATATTTGTAATTTTTGAATAAAAATTAATACCAATTATTCAATGAAATTGACATAAATTCCATACATAAGATTTCAAGTTGATGTATTGTGCTATCATTTTAGCGGTTGGATCATGTGTCAAATTTCAATTTGATTACCATTCATCATTATTGAAGCTTTTGGAATAATCACATTTCTTCCAACGTAATCAAAACATTGGCATATTTACCAATTTACATATCCGTAAAACAATATTCTCTGCAAGTTTCTGCCAACTAAATCAGTCAAGTTTTACTTTCGCGATGGGCTACTCCAGTACGATTTGAATGTTCCAGTACATGACACGAGAGTGTTCAAACTTTGGAATGTTGATTGGCATGTAGTTGCAGACGTGAAAAAAAGCTTAGATGTTTTTTGCTTAGTGAGGAAGATACCACGACAACATCATCCTAGCAGATATCACCATATCATAATTGTAGCTACCAATATTTACGAACACACAATGATGGGGTAACTGTCAGGCAACCAAGTAATCCTGCAAATAGTCAATTCTGTAAACCTTGTCATTCCTTTCATAGAAATCTCTATACACTTCATCATCAAATCCATCATTCCTATAAAACTAAGTACTGTACATTTGTAGATTGCCACTTGGTGTGTTTCAATGTCCTCTGGTGGAAAATGAGTCGTCAGACAAATTTCATTCAATGTTCTTCGTGCATTTCTGGAATAGACAATAACCATGCATTGATGTTGACGAGCATCTATTCCCAGTACATTACATGCAGATGTAAACACTTTGGAATGTGTCGGTCTTTAGAGCTTCCTCCTCATATGTTCAAGGCAATGTTGTTATTTGACATGTGCTTCTATGGCTTCAATTAGTTGTGCTGCACACCTGTGTTATAAAATAAATGAAAAGTTAACATCAGTGTTAATTAATTGGTATTCAATGTCTATTAAAAATTCACATTCAGATTCTTTGCAGACTAATCTCTTTTGACATAGCATACTAATGGCGCTTTTGTAGTGCTGCTCCACTGAAATGCAATGCAGTAGACACTAATTTGACACATGTGCTTCTTCCATGCTTCCATAAATTGTTTACTTTTTATTGACACTTCAAACAGTAATATAAATAATCGGTTTTTCAATAAAAACATTCAATTTCACAAGAAAGAACATGATTTTATGCATTGACAAAAATGTGCAAAAAATTTTTTTGCCATTATTTCGCATTTCCTGTTTGTGTCACTTATCAAAATACAACAAACAAATCTCGTCTTTCCAGGACATCGACTCAAGCAATACATTATCTATGTTTACTTAATGTAAATTACAATTGTATTCTATCCCACAAACCATACTTACAACAAATAAACATTGTCGATCTTCTGCATCACAGCGTTTTCTCCTCAGCTTCATGTTGTTGACGTCTGATGCACATTGCCGGAAGTGATGCCGCACAAACAGTCCGATCTTGGATATTATGATTTCTTTTTTTGTAGTAATACTCCTACATTTGTGTAATTCAATTCGGCATCAAAATTATTTTATTATTTAAGGAATTATACTCTTGTTTTGATAACTATGACAGGAAAATATTGTCATTAACTGCGGAGCGATATCGCCATGTCGTCCGGTACGAAAATCATACTAAGAGGAAGAAAGTTGGTCTGAATATGGACAAAAGACCTGGTTACGACATTTGCTAGTTATTTATGGGTTATTCGATGTTAACGGAGTCTATTTCGTGTCGTTTAGTGTTTTATGGACACACTGATCGCTTGTGATTGTGACGGAAATAATCATCATTTTGTGACAGCTAAAAAGTAAAAATGGCGGCCTCTATTGGACAACACGATGACTTTCGATTTAACCAAAATCCATGTTTGGATGTTTAAACAAAATTTACTTCATAGGAGTATGACGAGTTTTTAACTATGACAAGCTGATACGACTAGGGGAACGGGAGTTTTTAACTAAGATAAGCTGATACGACTAGGAGAACGGGAGTATTTAACTATGATTAGGTGATACGACTAGGAGAACGGGGTTTTTTAACTATGGTTAGTTGATACCACTAGGAGAACGGGAGTATTTAACTATGATAAGCTGATACCACTGGGAGAACGGGAGGTTTAAATGTGGTTACCTAATACGACTAGGGGAACAAGAGATTCAAATGTGGTTGGCTAATACGACTAAGGGAACGAGAGATTCAATATGGTTGGCTAATACGACTAAGGGAACGAGAGATACAAATGTGGTTGGCTAATACGACTAAGGGAACGAGAGATTCAAATGCGGTTGGCTAATACGACTAAGGGAACGAGAGTTGGCTAATACGACTAGGGGAACGAGAGATTCAAATGTGGTTTGCTAATACGACTAAGGGAACGAGAGATACAAATGTGGTTGGCTAATACTACTAAGGGAACGAGAGATTCAAATGTGGTTGGCTAATACGACTAAGGGAACGGGAAGGTTTTTATCTGTGATTGTCAGGTAGGAATAGGAGAACGGTTGCTTCATTTTCCCTTCAAGGGTATATGATCTTTTTGCACTGTGCTCAAACACTCAACTACGAATTAGGAAAGACATTGATTTTATATTTCTTACTACAAACTAGTGCAATATCAGCTTCAAAGACAAGCAATATATTACTCCTTTCAAAGTGCAAAATGAAAATAAATAAAAAAAAAAAGGCAACAAAATAATTAAAAAGAAAAGTAAATGTCTATTAGGAGAAAAGTGCTATACGCTTTAACGTGTAACCTTATCGTTTTGCTAATACATGCACATCATTATCAACTCTGTATACACTGTTATTTAATGTTTAACCCAGACAGTGGGTTGGATATTATATTAATTGGATGTAAAGAACTCGAGTCTTAAAACGCATTCACTTACAAACTTGTCACTTTCCACTTACCATCCACACAAACGTAAGCAGAGTAAGAGGTGTTTCGAATGAGATGCTAATCAAAATACATTAAGAAACCTGATGTGTTTCGATTAATTTTAATGATCAGTACATACATACCCGACACAGGTGCTCAATGTCATCTGTTGATATGTAAATGCAAGCATGAGGAGTCTGGAAGATGATTTGTTTATCACTCAAAATACCTATTCCGTCTTTGCGTATTGCAGAGTTATCTTCTCTTGGGAGCAGGTATTGATTGTTACGTCATTGGTCTGTGTGAGAAAATTACGTCGTTTTCTCAAAAATTGATGACGTTTCTCTCACCAACAAGTGACGTAACAATCAATACCTGCTCCCAAGAGAAGATAACTCTGCAATACGCAAAGACGGAATATGTGGCGAGACGATTCATTTACTTATGCTGCCCTTAGTGATGTACTTGGTAAGGAGAAGAAGGAAAATGGCTCTGGATAGCACCTGGCCAAAATGTATTAATTAATCTTAAATCAATCAATAAATAAAATTAATTAATTTATAATCATTGATATTTAACATTATAGGTATTTATGTTCTTACCTGGACTAATGATAACAATGATTTTGTGGATAATTACCAAAACATTCCTTAGTAACAGCATTACAATTCATTAAGGATACATTTGTGTACATGATTGCTGACATACCAGTTTGATTACAGGTAATTGAAGGTTTAAAGGATTTTTTCGGTATATAACAGGTCCATATGCATTTGAAATATTGAGATCAGGAAAAGATTACGTAGAGATAAAACTTATCTAATCGATCAATGCTACGATTAGATCAATTACTGAACAATACGGTTATTCCCGTGTGTTTACATTGACATTGATCAATTGTCATTCAACTTATCCAATGCCTAGCTTTTGAGTAGGAAAATTTGCAACTAGTAACACAATGGATGATCGTTTTTGAATATAAATTGCTGTTTTAACATGATCAAGTAATTAAAAAAAATATTGTTTTGAAACTGAAATTGAAATGTATATAATGAATACGGCATGTCACTAATCCAACCTTTTCCCGATACGCAATTCCTGTTATTGTCGCTTCTTCTGTTACATGAAACATTTATAATGACACGGGTGTGCTACCCGTCAACCCTAACGAGTGGCTGGTGGCACATTATTAATTCAAGTCTTTCCTCCGTTGGCGTTGACAGGCCTTAACCGAACTGAACAATACCGGAATCATACGAGCTATCATTTCACTGGTGGATTTCTCAATGACGTTTACCTACACACTTTGTAAGGACTGTTTGTCAGTATGTAGACGTCATTAGGACCCATGGGAGTCGAACTGTCGGCTTGGGCTGGGTACATGAAACAGTGTTGACGAGTGTTGCCGTTCGAGACGGGATACCACTGATGTCTTTGATTTAATATACTCACTTTACATTGATCAGTAGGACCTAGAATTAGAATATCGCGTGTTGACGATCCAGTCTTTCCTCAAACAATTGAATGTTTCGCAGATCAGTCGAAGTGTCATGTGAGTACTAACTGATTTTCATTAAGTGAAACATAAGCCAATATATTGACATTTTTCGCAACATCTGAGACATATTGGCATTGGATATATACTTCAGGCGTGTGCAGGGACATACAGCGTATCTATATAACACACAATAGAAGGCTAATACAGTCATATCTGCCGTCGTTTTGCACTGGCCGTTCCATCAAACAGCCGGTGACAAAGGACCATGTAAAGTCTGGCACACCAGTGGTTAATTATATCATTGCAATTCCAACATAGAAGGACGTTTTCCTAATAATATAAAGGTATTGTTCGTCAATGCAACAGTCTGTGGTAAGGTTTTAGTTCTGATTTCCTCAAAGATTGATACATTATTTGGTGTTGGACAGTTATAAAGTGATACAATATCACTGCTCTAGTGCTTTAATGAAGTGAATTCTAACATTTGGACCAAAACATTGGAAACCTTTGTTAAAATGCGTAGAACCGCAAAGGAACGACGCACCGAGAACTAAGAGGGATGTGAAGGAATCCAAGGATATTTGAGTGATTTTCTCTTTCACGGGATCGATGTAAGACATTTTAATGAATTAAAATAAATAACGAGATATATCAATTATTATCATTAGTTAAATTCAAACAGATTGATTCACTTCATAAGAATCCCTGACTTTTTCACAGTGGGTTTTGGATTGTAATATTACAACTGTAACACGTCTTTGTGTGGGACAAGTCGGTGTAACAGGAATGGGTTGCGGTTCGAGTCAGGAGGGGGCCAATTGTAGATTCAACCTTATCACAACCTTCCAAGGTCACAGTGATGGCATAAACTGTATGGCTTTAAGTGATAATGGGTTCATCCTGGTTACGGCAGGCGATGACAAGACCGGTAAGGTGTGGGATGCCCGGTACGGTAAGGGTTTCCGGAGAATGGGCGAGCTCGTCGGACACACTGGCTATATTTCATGTATTCTCATTGTCGGAGAATATATTTTGACCGGAAGTAGTGACAAAACAGTCCGGAAGTGGGATGTTGAGAACAATTTCCAATCAATCATTGTCTGCAAAGGACATATTTCGTTAATTCACAGAATGATTTGTACGGGAGACTTCATCTTTACCAGTAGTTTTGACCACACGTCCAGGTGTTTCGATTTTGACACAGGTGAGTGCTTACGAGTATTCAAAGGACACAAGCGTGCCACATATCCTCTCGTGTTTATCCCTACTTTAGACGAGGACGACGAGGCCAACGAGGACAACGAGGAGCAGAGCATTGATACATCCATTGGGATGCTGGTGACGGGGTCAGCTGACGGGACAGCAAGAACATGGAACTGTGATACTGGTCGAACTATTAAAATCTTCAAAGGTCACAAAGGGCCTATAACGTGCATGGCAACAGACGATTCGCGAACATTGCTTGCGACCGGAAGTGTAGATACAACTGTCAACATTTGGAAGATTTCATCGGCGGCCCTTTTGAAGACTTGTAATGGACACACAAACACGGTCGTATGTCTCCAGGTAAGTCGCTTATATCCTACCCAGTCAAATTTTCTATGTCTTGTCTTTTGTATGCTTTATGTTTAAACTTTAAACAAGACAATGACATTGCTATTTCGAAAAAAGGCACATGTATTTGTATTTATATATTCTTACATTCAAATTTCATGATGAAACCTTTTTCATTTTAATGTTTTTTTAATTGCATTTTGAATATTGTTTGTTTATAATTAATATTTTCGTTATTGTTTTAATATATATACATGCTAGGGATTGCTTTGGTCACAGCTCCCGGGACAATAACATGTCTTCGAGGTAGGAAGGATTTCGTTCAACATACCTCTTTTACTACTCAATATTCACACACCACATATACAAATTTTACTCAAATAAACATTGTCATGCATGGTAACGATGAAAGACGAATTGATTTATCCGAGTTAATATGTAAACCTATGATATGTAGGATCTAATCAAAGACACAAGCTGAATTAGGTTTCTTGGTACTCTTGTTTTATACCATAATGGTAATAGATGTTCTGTTTCACTGAATGAACGGAACTTAAAACATTCAATATATATATATATATAAGAACAGTTATCGCACAGTTCAGAATACTAACTGTTGACCCAAGTGTCTACATTATCTCCACATAGCTTTATTTAAGATTGTAGACGGATCATCAGCTATGAGGCAATGTATTGAATAGAATGATTTTCATGTTTTATTTTGTGTTATTTTTAGTCAGTATACATAGAGGATATTGAATGGATATCTGTCGAATGGCACGAGTATAGCACAATATCGATATTTCTTTCCGGGTTTTTTTCAAGAATGCAAAGCACGAGTACAAATATCGGTATACTCTGCCATATGCGTACTATATGTATGGCATTCAATGGGTAACCACTAAATTTTCTACTTCTTACATTTAAAAAATATTCACAACATCGGAAAAATGACTGAATGATCTATTATGTCGTGTTCTAAATGGGTCACACTTGACAAGGCTGCACGGCATTGTGAGTGGGCTACTCAACACATTTCTACCGTTTACAGCTTTTAATTAGTAATATTGTTTTACATGATATTGTTATAATTAATAATGAACCTATCGTAATATAAAGTCGATACATTGGGTGAAGATGCGTTAACGTGGATACGGGCAACACAATATCATGTCTGTATTGACGCACTCTGTGAAGATATCAGGTTTGATACAGTCACAGTGAGATAGATATAATTTTATTACGGTGATATAATTCGATATCTCACTAGCTAAAATGCATTAGAAAAAGTCAATGTTTCCGTTTCATTTACAATAATATTAAAGTCTAGAACGCCTCATTAACGTACACAACGTTCATTAATTATTTACACCGATGATTAGCATATATGTTATGCTTATGAACAACTTTCTCGTTTGGTTTTGCTTAATTCAAACTGCTTAAAACACTCATAATGTAACTGACAAATGACTCTTTTTAGCTAGTACAGTAAGCGATATGATTGATAAAATCGATTTCTGTTTTATTGATTTGTGACTTTGGAATGCCACAGTTCAATTTGTATCCATTACCGATTTTTTATAGGCGCAATTACGTGTGTGTCATACGTTCATAGCACAATAATCTTGGATTTATGACCTTGTAGCTGGTATTTATTTTAGCATTAAGTACACAGTCGACTCAGCTGTAAATGAGTACGTGGTTGGGCAGTGCTAGAATTGTAGAATGCTACCTGTGAGCGCCGAAATGGCTGCCCAGGGAGTTGAGAAAGATATTGGCTGGTTGCAAAGGCCCTATAACCACAGATAATAATTTGTGAACCGGTTTGAGACGACCTAAGAACATCGAATTATCATTATGAATACTATTATTATCATAGCGATAGTTCTTATCCGTTACAGACAAACGTTGTCCGTTGTCACTGAAGATATAAAAGACGATCATCCATAGTCATAGCTTATTTCTATAACATGACATCACTGAAGATACGAAAGACCATTATCCATAGTCATAGGCTATTTCTATAACATGACGTCACTGAGGATACAAAATACCAGCATCAATAAAGTCATAGTATATTTCTGACATGACGTCACTGAGGAAGCAAAAGACTAGCATCAATACAGTCATAGCTTATTTCTATGACATGACGTCACTGAGAATACAAAATACCAGCATCAATGAAGTCATAGGCTATTTCAATGACATGAGGTCACTGAGAATACAAAATACCAGCATCAATACAGTCATAGCTTATTTCTATGACATGACGTCACTGAGAATACAAAAGACCAACATCAATAAAGTCATAGCTTATTTCTATGACATGACGTCACTGAAGATACTAAAGACTAGCATCACTATGTAGTAATTATCATAGTGTGATACTATGTTGTACACATAAAACATACTAACATCAATGACTCAAATATTTATATTTAAATAATCTTACATCCCAGAAAACCAAACGCAGTACTGTGCAGATTCATATTTTTTCCACATAAGTACTAAAATTTTAACAACAGTTCATGCGATATTGTAACTAAATTACGGTAATTTAGTTACAATAGAATGTACTTGAACAATGAAACTATCAGTGAGAGATGTCATTTTCACATATTGTATGTTCTAAAAATCTGCATTTTTCGATTTAGAGAAATAAAGGAATTATTCCATTTTTTGGTTATTTCAGTAATTTCCTTTTTCAAAACGGCTTGTACCAGGTAATGGATTATCGAAACAATAGAAACCAGCAGAGAATATTCCTTTTTATTTTTACATGTGTTGGGATGCTTTAAATGTAATGAGGTTCAGGTATTGATTTGCAGTTAAACAATGGGCTGACTCAGTAATATCGATCTGCCCCGTTGACCACACCTGGAGCACGTGTGCCTGTGTAACGTCTCGTTAAGGTCATCAAAGGAACAGCTTTAAAATTACAGGAAATTAACGACATTATAATTAATACTTGTTGATGATGTAATGTGTTTGTCGCTAGTTACATTGTGTCTCGGTAAAGGTCGTTTAAAATGTTGGTGATTTACCAGCACCGGATTTATGGGTTACTCAACAGTTCCTATCAAGTTGTACGCGTTATTATATATTGACAACCAATTATTTACAAAAATTGAATATTTATAACACGAAAGTCTGTCCCACACTCTGCTTTCTGGTACAGGAAATAGGTTAAACTCGCAGGTTCGTTTGTATAATGAAATAAGAGAAAAAAAACTGTACAAAAATAACATGTCGTGTTTTATTTTACCCTACAATCTTGATAATAAGCTACTGTTTATTTTCATTTCAAGGAAGGAAGCAAATGTTGTTTTCAAAGCTGTTTTATATTCATGACAGTTATATTATCGTAGTCCTTTACACTGTAAGCCATTCATGACTTATTGTTATTCCTTTTTTTTTCGCATGGAAAAAACGAGTCCTTTTTTCGCATGGAAAAATATAATCAATGTTATGAAGCTTTAATGAAAATCAATCTGTTTAGGCCGATAGAGAAAATGTGGCTCTTACCTGGGAGTAATTGCGACTACATTTTTTGACTACATTTTTTCACTATTTCACTATATATTTCTGAACACTTGAGACATGATTTGTTATTAATTGTTTGACCTTGAACACCATTGCGAGTCATCTATAAATAAAACGGTCCTGTGTAGCTTTCTCTCTCTTATTTGACGAGATTATTTCGCGTAATTTTTGCCTTTGTTTTTTTCCTGGACTTTTTAAATAAGGATTACTATCCCATCATTACCATTGTTTATTTTCTTAGATAAATATTATTCTGTTTTAAGCCATATTGTCCAATACAAGCGGTTCTGAGGGAATCATTTATATATCAATAATGCATGTTGTAAGCACATTGGCATTGTAAATAGAGGTATTACTCAGACAAATGCATATTTTGTAAATAAACTGCTCCTTACAGTCCAATTATGATTAGCTAACTTTGAACGAATTTCCTTTTGAAGATTTTAAAACTGTTTCCCAGAAATGTTATACAATGTGGAAGTTTCAGATTTTGTTTTCGAGTAAAGCATCTTATAATGAAATTATGTTCACAAAATGTTATAATTACGTCATAAATAGTCATGCCATTACCATTGATCAATGGAAGACTTGACGGATAATTAAGGGACTACATTAGGACGTAATGATATCAATTTTTTTTTCATTTTCCCTTCCTCTAATGGCAGCTAAATCTTTATTGTAGATCACTTCCATGTATAAATATATTATGTAATACAATTTTGTTTAAACTGTCAGTGTTATGCCGGTATGAATGTCATAGCGTACGAAACGAGTTTGTCATTCTGGATGACTATGTAATTGTAGGCACTCCAATGGTATTGATATAACAGCTTCACAACTGCCGCTCAATTCTGGTGTTTGTATAAGCTTTATCAATATCACTTTATAATACAGGGTAAACAGAATTGAAATGCATGTGTGAGTTTAACATCAAAAGGCCAGTCTGGAAAACCATGACAGTATAATTCAATATACCACAGTTTGTCAATCCATACTTCATATTGTGTCGCGCGCATCAATTTAAAGGCATGTTCCTGGCCTATTTTACATTATAAAACAATATGTCCAGGATGATATTTCGGTATTTGGACTACAATAGAATACATTTGTACAATCGTTATAGTGTCACATCCTTACAACAATCTCTAAAACAAACCTGACGTCTTCAATGTTAGAATCATTACTTTTCCTTTCCTCTGTGTTATACCGGCCTTTCCTAATTTCCAATTTGACATGTCACTGTATTGTTCTAATCCAGAGCTTGTTCTAAATATGAAGGGCATAATAACGGTCACGCTATGAGGTGCAGAAAACTGTTATCCTTCCGGAACTCCTGGTCCCATATTCATGACACCGTTCTCATGCTTAAGTGTGTATTTTGTGCTCAAGTCTAATTTATTGTTCGGTTATAAATTAATTTAAAAATCTGATTTTATCAATAATTTGAAGGGACTTGAAGTGGAATACAA